AACCTGTTAACCTAACACTACCAAGTCCACCGCTAAACCATGTCTCTAAGCTCCCCACCTGCATGTCTTTTAAATACCTTCAGGGATGGTGACTCATCCACTTCCCTGGGCAGCCTGTTCCAGTGCTTGACAACTCTTTCAGTGCAGAAATATTTGTTAATATCCAAACTAAACCTCCCATTTCACAACTTGAGGTCATTTCCTATAACTTGTCACCTGAGCAAAGAGACCAATACCCACCTCCCTACACCTTCTTTTGGGGTAGTTGTATCATTTAAGGTAGTTATAGAAAGCGATAAGGTCTCCCCTCAGCCTCCTTTTCTCCAGACTAAGCATCAACATCTTTGCCTTTATTTACTCACAGGTACATGTCTACTGTAAATAATTGTTAGAGACCAGTGCATACAATTGTTCTTATTTCTGTAGTAAAAAATAGATTCCAAGAACCAAAATTTCCAGAAGGGATTGTTTTAGGAATATATTTGGTGAGACTTAGAAGGATCTGCCTACCTGGGACTGGGTGCTCAGGTCTTTCAGAATTTAGGATCCTATTAAATTCAGTGCCTCTCTGAAAGTAAAATCTAAAACTTTATACTGTTCTATCCTCAGTGTTATTTCTGAACTGTTTATATTTTTAATCTGTCATTTAGAGTTAGACTGTGACACTTGACCGAGTCTTGTTCAAATAAGGCCTAAAAAATACTTTTCTGTACTCTTATTTCATCTCAATCTTTGCACTACTTTGCACTATCTTTGTCTCATGTACCAGTCTAGCGTCAGTGCCTAACTCAAATCAGCCTAATCCTAATCTTTAGCTGGCAAGGTATTGTTGTAAAAAAGAAAATGGCTTCAGAGTAACAACTGCTTGGAGATAGAACATTAGCTGAAATGTCTGAGGCATTAAGCTAGCCTGGTAGGGTTTGAGGCAGTTCCCATTGCGAACAACCGGCACTACTTTTTTATTGCTTAATTATTATTATCATTCAACAGCATTGTATAGAGACTTTATTTTTAAAGGAAGATCATCTGAAAATGCTGTTAGAAAGGTTTGTCTGCAAAAGACTATTATTATTAAGAAAACCAGAGCAAGAAGTTTGTTACATCCTGCTGTTATTTCCTATTCCAGATTCAGCACAATTCATATGCTGTTCTTACTGCAAGGAATGCACTATATGAATCTGCCTATTACCAGTTTGCTGTCTCTCTCCTGATCTGCATTTTGTCCTTATAATCTCAGATGACCTGTAACAGCTGCCTCGTGTTAAGAATCACCTGAAGGGGCTTTTCAGCCTCAGTGATGGAACTTTGTACTGGAAAATTATTTCTCTACCCTTGAATGTCAGGAATCTTTGTATTCATATGTTCATATGGAAATACACTTCCTTCAGCTCTGTTGATGCATGGCAGTGCCTTCTCTAGTGTCTGTGATTTGTTGAAGTGTGAATATCCATGAATATTCTTAGGACCTCTGTAGCTATTTAAACCCCTCAAGTCTGAAATGGTCTCAAGCTTCTCATTTTTAATGGAAAAGAAAGAATTTACATTTTCTTTCAGTTTTGCTTTCAGTGAATGCTCATAATTCCATGAAAAGCAAGGATTCACATGGTCTGAGTAGAAGAAATGTAGAGAAAGAAAACGTGTGTATGTTTGAGGGGCAGGTTAAGAGAATGTGCCTGTCATTAGTTATGTCTTCTAGCTATGTCTACTACTATGGCACTTAAAAGATTTCATAATATATTTAGTAGTCTTTTGAGGGTTGCTCTGATCTCAGATGTAGTGCTTTTGGCAGTGTGCAACCTGTGATCATGAGATAGTGAAAGTAGTAGTAAAAGGTATGCTTGTCATTACTTGTAATTGAATTTCTCTTTAAAAAACACTAGAAAATTATGGGTGAAAACTGTTTTCTGTAAGCACGTACAGTTAGTGGCACAGAAAACCTCTCATTGAGTGCAAGTGAATATATTCTGCAGAAGAAGGGATCAACCCTTGTAACTGGGAGCTGGGTGGGTAAGAGGAAGGTGGGGACTATGAAATTCACGAAAGGTATATTATGAACTAACTCTGAAAATAAATAAACCCTGTAATTCTATTACTGAAAGAGGACACGTTATCATCACCATACCTTGCAACATTAAAGTTGTCTGTTTTCCAAACAATGTACGCAACTGAGGAAGAAATTGCCCTTACTACAGAGAAATTAAACGCAGACTAAAAAGCTAAAGCAAAAGCACATTTGGCAAATCATTTCAAAATTGACTTGTTGACATTTAGTGTTAAATTTTGGATGACTCAAGGGGTTTGAGAATTTTTTTCTGAAAAAACATTAATGTGTGGTATCTGAAAAATAAACTTACTGTAAGTGCTGAAGGCTGGGATCTTAACATGGAATAAAACATTTAATAAGAACTCTGTCTGAGAAAATAGTGTCTTACCAATTAAGTTACATTATTTGATTCTCTGCTGCTGGTGAACTCCAGTAGAAAACTGTTCTGATCTCTCACAAAGATAAATTGGACTCTAAATTGTTAGGAGTATTGGGAATGTAAGGTTTATGATCACAGAGCAAGAGCGTAGGAGGCAGGTGAGGGCACATCTCTGAAAGGAGACCTCTTGTTCTGAGAAAAACCAAGAGGAAAAAGGAATAAAAGATGTAGTTCCATCAACTTACACTTAATGCACTCTTCCAGAAGGTCAAATCCACATCAGTCCAAAATCAGGTTTTCTTTCTAAAAATGTAATACTTATTTTTGTCAGTATAATAATATATACACTGGTCTACAAATTGTATTTCTTTTTGAACAGTTAGTGTCTGGTGCTTCCAACATCAGTACTCAGCATCAACTAGCTCTCAGAGAACCTACTATGTTCTGAATTTCTGTTTAATTTTTGTGTTGAATATTTATTTCTTTCTGTTACTTTTGGAAATTGTTTTTATGAAGTCTTTCTAGTGAGAAAGACGGTTAGTTTTTCAGGCGTGCTTTCTGGAAGCTGGCACTGCTCCTATGAGCGTACAATTTAGGTGTGGGAACTGTAGACTAAAGAGGAGAACTACATGTTTAGGCATGCAAAGGCAGAGCCAGGCATTTATTTCTTGTATTCATTTTATTAAAAGTACATAAAGTATTCTACCATTTTTATTCTTTTTGGTTTTTTTTAAATAATTCAAACCAAACTGGTTTAGTCAGACGTTTATACTAAACCTGTAGTTGCTAACGTTACAAACGACAGCTATTATGTATCAACATTTTCCATGAAAAACTGTATGTCATTCTATGGGAATAAATAACTAATCAATAATAAACCACAACTTGTTTGTCTAAAATACAGCTAACCAATATAGACACAAGTTACACTATGTCTATATTAATGACAAAGTGAAACGAGATTTACTATAATTACATTGAAATAACTCAATTGAAAATATACCTTTCTGTCTGATTTGCAGATCACAGTGGCTTTTTGTAATGTTAGGAATCTTGCAAATAAATCACCAATATTCATGAAGTTCGTGCAATACTTAATTTTTCAGTATTTCAGTAAATGGCACAAGGAAGTAATTACATAATTCTTCTTAATAATAGAATATTATACACTATTAATCCCATTTTTAAGACTGTAGGATGTGATTTTGTTAGTTACTTTGTTCCAATTCCTTACCTATAAATGAAACTATCAATTCCTGTAAAAAATTGTTGCAGTTTTTTTTTACTCTAATGAATGTTCATCACCTGCTTCAGTGGTTAGAGGTTTTTTTTCCTTTTTATCTAGATTACTTGTTCTCAGACTGTGGTTTGTGAATTGTTTGTGATCTGTGACCTGTGAGACTCAAAATAAAATGATCTTCAAGCAAAAGCTATTCGGGACTGGGTAGTTTGAGAGAGTACTTAGTCTTTTTCAATAAGTACTGTGCAGAGTGAGAAACCTGGAGAACACATGAGTTTCAAAGATGCATATCTTAATTTTCCATTTTGGGGGAATCACAATTTTGCTCTTGGATTACCTTGATAATTCACATTTTTATCAGAAATACTGTGCAATGTTCTGCTTTTGTGGGTTTTTACACTTTATTCTCACTGAATTTGGTATGGGTCTGGCTTAGGGTGATTAATGAAGGCATTTATTAAACAAATGCAATGTATTATTACTGGACTCAGAATACACTTCTGTACTGTATGCAAGGCTAACTGAGAAGAATCTGTTGTTATAGAACAGAGACCATCTCAGTTTCACTTATCAGTCCCTGAAAGCAAAATATTTTCAACTATTTAACCCCCATACTATGTTGTACCATGTTTTCTGGGGTTTTTTTTAGGGGTTCAGCATTTATTTTTTCACAATACCTTTCATCGTAAATACCGTTTTAACTGAAACAAACTACTGAGCCTCAGCAATAATGGTAAACATACAGTTTTCTTATGCATCATCTTATACAGAATTATTTCAGCTCGTTACTATTCTAAACTATGGTGTTTTGTAAAGGAGATGTCTCTGAATAAAATGTCCTGTGTCTTTTAAAATTTGGTAGTGAACTCTATCAAACCACCTGTGAACATAGTTTTGTTATATAGTTTGTAACACTGATCTGAGAAAAAACTTGTGTATGCAGTTAATAATTGTTGGTGCTCTTTCATTTGTCTGTGTACTAAAACTATTTCTCAAAAAAATCACGTATTTACTGAGCTATTGAGTTGCTGAAGGTATAGGTCATATTTTTAGCTACTATAAATAGTTTTTTCTTTAGTGTATCTATACTTATTAGTATTTCTTAACCATCTGCCCCACTGAATTTACAAATAACCATTACAGGAGAAGATATTGTAAGAACTACTACCAGAAGAACAATTCTTTTGGATAATAAAATAAATTTCTTGTGTTGGATGCTTAGCAGTTGTTGAAAATTCTAACACCACGTACTTTAAAAATCTACAGTGACATATAGTAAGATATATAGCAAATAACAGTTTTAAATGTGTTAAATAATTACATATTTTTCACTACAGGTGAAGTGTGATCAGTACTGGCCAAGTAGAGGCACAGAAACTTATGGACTAATCCAAGTGACCCTTTTAGACACTGTTGAATTGGCAACATACTGTGTCCGTACATTTGCACTTTACAAGGTATATATACTTACAATATACTTTAAATGTAGGCAAGTTTTATCTTTACCTTTTCAATTTCGTTTTCCTTTTCCTTGACCTTTTCATTTTCCTTCTATCTTTCCTTCCCTTTCATCTTCCCTTCTCTTTTCCTTCTCCTCTCTTCCCCTCCCCTTCCCTTCTTCTTTTCCATTTCCTTCCTTCCGATCATTCTCTCCCTGCTGCTGCCCTGCCCTCCTTCTTTCTTCTGCTTCCTGCCTTCACTGCCTTTCTCCCTTATTTCCTCATTCCCTTTCTTCCCTTTCCGTCCTTTGACTTTGCTCCCTCGTTTCCTCCTGGCAGCACTGAACAATGAGACTTCTTCTACAAAGTGTGTTTTTCTTACAGCATGGACTTTTGTAAGTTAATACAGGGCTATCACTTGAAAAACCATTTAATGAAATACTAGATAAAGCTCTGGCACTTGTTGTGATGCATTACTGTGCAGTATAGTTAAAGCTCTTACGTTGTTTCAATCCTGCAACTTAGAATATAAGTCACATTTCCCTCCACATTTCTCTGTGGCCCCAAATGTGATTTAAATACACTTCACTAGTATGCATGCTTCTCCAGTTGTTTCACTGAAAAGTGCCAATATCACATCAAGCAACAGTTTTGTCATGAATTTTTTTACTTTCATAGAATGGTTCAAGTGAGAAAAGAGAAGTGAGGCAATTTCAGTTCACTGCCTGGCCCGACCATGGTGTTCCAGAACACCCAACACCATTCTTAGCTTTCCTGCGACGAGTCAAGACCTGTAACCCACCTGATGCTGGACCTATGGTTGTACATTGCAGGTAGGACCAGGATTTCTTTCAAAGCATCTTACATGAGGATTACTATTTTCTGTTGTTTTGCAGATGAAAACATTATCTTCTTTCAGAGACACTTCTGAGTCTGTCAAATAAAAAGATGGTTGCATTGCAAATTGTGGACCTGAGTATGGCACTGCCAACTTGGATGGGCCAGAACTATTTTCTTTGGTCTGTGCAAGAGAAATTATTTTTAGAATATCTAAAGGTCTACAGGGAAAATGTCTGCAGGGAGAATACAAATATATCTATGGCATTCAGAAGGTGGCATGAAGAAGAAAGAGGATAGTGTTAATTTAAGAACCTGAATATTGAAGAATGTTTTTTAAGCAATGAAAGAGCTTTTGGAATTACTACTTATATTGTGTTTGAAATTAAAGCAGATGAAAATTAAGAAAGATAAATGGCAACTTTTATTGAAAAGAGTTAGAAACCTTAATCTGTATTCAAGGTTAAACCCTCAGTGCAGGACTATGATGAGCAGAAACTGCAGAGGATGCAACCTGGGGAACAGGTTGAGCTCAGTTCCAGGCAAATTAGTGCTCCATGCTATTTGCAAGGTGTTAAACCTCTCTAGGCTTTATAAAGTTTTAATAAGGAATTAATAAATTCCTAAGAGAAAAACATCAGCTCCTCTTAAAGGTCTGGGAGTAAGGAAAATGAAGAGGAAGAGATGGGAATTCTTTGGAAGTCTTTGACAAGAGCAGATGTTTTAGAAAGCCTTAAAATCAAACTGGTAAGAATATCATCAGAACATATGTGCCAGTTCCGAATGAAGCTGTAAGATGGTTCCCCCTCATTCCAGGGCTACATTGTTGTAGCTTACATAGCTTACTGTGCTGCCTCTTTCAAAACGAATTTCTAAGATCACTGATTTTTGTGAAGTTCATTTTACTCACTACAAGAAGGATATTGAGGTGTTGGAGCGTCTCTGCAGAAGGGCTACAAAGCTGGTGAGGGGTCTGGAGGACAAGTCTTATGAGGAACGACTGAGGGAACTGGGGTTGTTTATCCTGGAGAAGAGGTTGAGGGGAGAGTTTATTGCTCTCTACAACTACCTGAAAGGACGTTGTAGAGAGGTGGGGGCTGACCTCTTCTCCCTGGTGACAAGTGATAGGACGAGAGGAGATGCGTTCAAGTTATGTCAGGGGAGGTTTAGATTGGGTATTAGGAAAAAATTTTTCACTGAAAGGGTTATTAAACATTGGACTAGGCTGCCCAGGGAGGTGGTGGATTCACCATTCCTAGAGGTGTTTAAAAAAAGGGTAGAAGTGGTACTTGAGAGCATGGTTTAGAAGTGGCTTTGTCAGGGTAGGTTAATGGTTGGACTTGATGATCTTAAATATCCCTTCCAACGTCAGCAGTTCTATGATTCTATTTTGTGATAACTTCAGTTAGCAAGGCTGAGAGCTACTCCTCTCTACACTGAAGCTAGAAATGCTTCCCCCTCTAGTTCTGGCTTGTAACATATTGGTAAGCCAGCCATGGAAGCTGGTTATTTGAACATTTTAAAAGTGATTGATTAAAATAGGCTCTTGTATATGAGACAGGAAGATAAAGTCAACGGGAAAACAAAATAAGCAAGACTTCAATGTTGAAAGGCACAGGCTGTTTAGAAAAGGTCAGAGAATGTGGAAGACAGGTATTTAAAACACCTGAGTTAGGAATGTGGAATGAATATAAATAATAATACAAATCTGTTCATACAGTTTGCTGAGTATTTCTTAAATGGAGCCAAATCTTTTTGTACAGGATCTTAAAGCATTTTTTAAATTGCCTAGAGTTACAGATTGCCTCAGCTATGATTTCATCAGCTTGATCCATATAGACCATACCTCCAAAGGTGCTCAGCAGTGAAGATGTTATGCTCTAAATCAAAACCAAAATTAGTGGAAGAAATGAATCCTCCCTCTCTGGGAAGGCTGTTAAGTTAGTATAATTACCTAAATTCTCTCAATGCAGAAATAGACGAATTAAATTAATTGTTAAGAACCATACAGCAAGTCTTTGGAAAAGATGAAATAACATACAAAGCTAATTATCACTCAGTGGTATTGATGAACTGGAAGGTCATTATTTTCTCTTTGTCATTGATTATGCATGCAAATTTCAGAGAAAACGGTGGTCAGGTTAGGTAGTATAATTTGATGCTTGTTGAGAGACTTTTTTTCCCAATTTCCTATTAATTTATTTATCTATACTCTACAATATGCATATCCTGGTAGTAAATTTATTAAAGCTCTTTGCCTTACGTATAGCTGCTTGAGACATTAAGATTTTAGGCTTTTCATACAACCTATCCTCCACAAAGTACACCTCCACATATTCTTTTAACAAACCTTTTAAATCACACTCCCAATAATTTTTCTATGAGGATAAGAACTAATGAAACCAGATTTCTTGTGTATTTACAAATTTATGTCTCTATATTTAAAAATTTTACATGGCTGGGCATGTGTTCTGGACAGTCCAAAGTTTATTAAAGTTCCTAACTCATCAGTGCTACTGTGCTCACCATCTAGCTGATAGACTAACAAGAATAAATCACTGAAGTCTTTCTTACAGTAGTAAGGTTAATGTGGGTGTCTCTTTTCAGGCATATTGTAGAACATTATATTTTGAGATTTATATTACCTTATCATTTTGAATTTAACATTATTAAATTGTTAAAAAAAATCAGAAAAGAAATTATGCCAGAGCATCAGCACAATTTTATTAGTGTGAAAGATACGTCTTTCATTCAGCAACATGAAAAACTTTCACATTTATTTTAAAATAAAGTACTGGTCATGCCTAAATGTTTCATTTCAAGCTCACAAAAAAATTTCATTTTATGTTGAAACAGAAAAAAGCAAGCACGTTTTGAATGTTACCTATTTTTTCTTAGAATCTGCTTTTAGATTTTTCTTTTCTCTCTTTTCTGTTGTTCGATTTGTAAATTTCTCCATTCTGCTCATTCCGTTGCTTCTTATCCTCAGTCATTTCAGTTTCTTTCAATTTTTTTTTCTCTCCAGTGTCTGGACTGCTCTTTATTCCATGGATTCCTCTAATCATATTCTACTTCTGTCCTTCAATTCTACTGTTTTCCCCAACTCATTTCTCTGTTTTTTACCATATTGCTGAACCATTTCAATATGAAATATGTTCATACATGTCTTAGTATTTTCTGTGAAGAAAGATTGTTGTTTGAATAGTAGCAACCTCCTGACAATCTTTGTCATGCATCACCTTTCCCTGCCTTCTAGTAGTCACCCTTTTCCACTGAGATATTTTATCAGTTCTTGACAACATTCTTGCTTTTCATTGCTTCTTTTGCTGGCCCCTAGTCTGTCTCTGCAGTCTTTTAAAAAAGTCCTCTTTTCCTTGTTCTGTATCTTATCTTTCACTGTCTCCCATTTTGTGTTCAAGATTCCCTAAGTCCCTTTTCATTAAAGCTTATATACTACAATCATTCAGATTTTAAAAGTATTTCAAACTTTTTCCACTAGAGCAAAACAATGTAACACAAGGCCATATCGTGTATCCTTTGCCTACGACAGACAGTGCTTTTCCAAATATCCCACTGAAGAAGTGATCCGAGTTTATTCCCCAGTAGGAACATGGAATACATAGTGGGGAGTGTAAGACATCTCAGACAGCACTGTTGCGTTCTTTTATGTTTCTGCCAGAACCTAACAAACTGTCAGAGCTCAGGACATTGTAATAATGACATGTTATAGAAGTATAAATACAAGGGGGTTTACCTTTCAAAATAGGTTTGGTAAAAAGGAAGGGTAGGTATGAAGAAGCTATAGAAGCATTTTTTTGCAAAGTTTTTAACCCATAAAAAACTGAAAATAAAAGCTAGCAGGCAACTAAGTATATGTACTAGCTATTTATCTATAATATTTCTGTGAATTTAGCTCAGTTTCTTGCTGCTTAAAAGCTCAGCTCCTTTTCACTTTTTATTCAAGTCAACACCCAGTAAAAGCAACAGGAGCCTGCCTGCGTGAGGAATAAATAAAAGAGCCAGCTATCTGCATTTTGATCCTTGGAGAGTAGCCCCTTATTTATTCTGTATTTATAAGTACGTATTGTAAGTGAAATGTTTAGCCTAAGCTTTTTTCCTTACTACATTCTCCACATCTGCCTTAATATTAACCAACATTTGTCTTTCAGTCCACTTCATTTTAAGAGATTAAGAGGTTTTTCCAGTTTGCTTGGTGGTTTTGGGATATGGCTATATATCCTATAGAGAATCAAGGTAGTTGGAGATTTGGTTCACAAGTGTCACCCCAGACCAGTTTGTATCAAAGCTTCAGTAGTCCATCAGCTAGTTTAATATCCTGTTCCTAGGAAATGTTTGTTGAGTGTCTGAAGAATTTATTTAATAACTTACAGGGTGCTTAGTGGGAAAAAGTCTGAGGCAAAAACAAGTGACAGCTGAAGAACCTACCCTATAAACATTTCAATGCATTCTTTCACATAATAGTGACCAGAAAAAAAATTGCGTAGTCTTAACTGGTGAAATTAACTGTGAATATAAGGCTTACCATTAAAAATTGCTAGACTTTATAAGACATGTTCTGATAAATACATGTCAAACAAATGCAAGTGGAAGCCTTCATAAAAAATTTTGTGTGATGAAAGCAAATAAAAATACAGAATTATGTGATCAGAATTGACGATAATGTTAGTAATTATTTGTTACCAATGTCCATGTAACAAACATCTTTGCATGTCATTTACACATCTAGTTTTGATAATTAACACTTTGGTTGCCTGTGCAGTATGAATTTGAATCTAATACAGAAATCAAAAACATGGAGAAATGTCACATGTACATTCTACCAGTCAGAGCTCTTACTTGTGTAGAAAAGTTGGCAGATTTTTAAGCTGAAAAGATAATTAGAGTACAATTAAAGCTATACTATTTTTAAGGAGAAAACATAGATCATGGCTGAAAAGATTATAAAGCACCAGAAGTAATTCAAGGCCTAATCTAA